TTGAGCAGGCCGTGAGTGTGTGTAATAGTGGATGGCGAGTAGTGTACAGTGAGGTGTGAATGTTTGGGGCCTTGTCAAGCATAGGCGACCAGCCGCGGCTGAGTTCCAGGCTGCTCCAAAATGCTGCACCGCTTCAGACTGCTTTGGCGCCGGACCACAATCACTTTCCTCTTTCGTCACGATGACAGTCAATTAACTCTATCGTGCGATTAACTAACTTACAGAAGCCACTAACTATCGCAGGGTATAAGGTTACCGCACAAACGCACACGGAGTTTAAAGGGTCAAAGGTCACTACCGTTTCGCGTAGCAATAGTTAATTCTAGAATCAGAGGCCGCACTATCTAATATTGCCGAATGCACTTATGCAGGTTTTGAGTCAGACACAATAAGTCCCGGGAAGCTCTCCAGTAGGAATGCGCGTCACAATGATAGACCGTATATTTACTGGCCGCGCCGAATTATTCCGACTTCCCTAACAGAATGGACCGCGTGCTCACGTCAGCACCGATTAAGGACGACTGACTGCCCTTGGGCGTTTTTCGCACGACCGAAAGTCAAACCGGTATGAATGCACCGCGCCGAGCGCCCTCTCGCGTCAATCCTTGAAAGTGTTTGGCGCGAACACTGGCATATTCAGAAACAAAAATAGAATATATTAAAAAATAACTTGAATTTCACTATCAATACGTGCAATGGTTGTAGTATCTACTCTAGTTGAACAACAATCTAGTAAAATAATGATAATACAGTTCTTTTGTACTGAGTCTATTTTAGTCGAAATTTTCTAATAAAACAAAATCAAATCTTTCTTATTTAACAAATTATACGGTAAGTGAACTATACTGTAAGAGCCTGTATTTTTTTTTTGGCAGTTAAAGTTAAGGGGAATTTAAATCGGTTTCGATCCATTATCTATTCCCTTAATACCATTCCAATATTTCAAGTATGTGTTGAACAAGCGTGGTTTGATTTCCCTGGAGTCTGTATCTTTGAGGTATGTTGCATGCACTCGTAGATGTAATTATCGCTTGAGTGAATCAACCCAATCACACGCTGCAAAACCACGAGATAACGTTATTAAAATCGGTAAGGCTACGCCCATAGCTCCTTACATAATTTAAAAACAATAAACAGGACGAATTTACAATACATTGCCAAACATTTACGCTTTATATGGTATTTTAAATTGTTTGTTTTCTCTTGTTGTTACAAGACCCAATATAAGATATATAATATAATAATATATTAATAAAAGTAATGCTCATTTGTGGGTAAATGTTTTCGAAATATGGATAAAAGCATTAACACTGCCTTTTAAATTCTTTTGTGATGGGGAGTATCATAAAGAATATAAAATATATAAACATTTATTGATCTTAATCCGCTGTAAAATACAGGCCATTTCTCACTAGTGTATGATACTCACGAACTCTCAGTGCTGGAGAGTTGATCAGAGCTTAGTGAAGATGATTCTTGCAGGTGAGTATAATTTTTGCTATTTGGTCGTGAATGGCTAGATATAGAGAATAAATAGAAGCTTAGGATGTAATTGGTAATTAAATGTAAGGAAATTTTCCCATGTTCAAATAGTACATAAATAGATTAATTGTATAAATTATATACAATTAATCTATTTATGTACTAATCTACTTATATTGTAGACGTGCATGCTTGAAGAAGATAATGAATCTGAAAGAAGCGAAAGAGGTTTGTAAGGATCGTGACACTTGGCGATCTGTTCTCTCTGGCTACCCCGTCAGGGATTGTGCGTGAAGATAAGTAAGTAAGTAAAGTATAAATTATTGTACTGCATAAGCATAATGATGAGTTGGTAGCTTTTCGTTGTATTAATCAAAAAAAATATTTAATTTATATCGGAATTTATACGGGAAATTTCCCGTATACACATAAAAAATTACATTATTTATTTATTTTATAGAATAGGGTGACAAACGGGCACACAGTCCAGTTGATGGTAAGTGGATGCTGTGGCTCATAGACATCTACATTTATCCTCAATTGAGAATCAGAATGCAGATGTGTACCAGCATAAGGGTCTCCGGTTCTCTACACTCACCATACGTACACGTGTTTCGACACAGCAGCATTAATCTGCAAATTTTTCGCTGGTATTTTGTGAGAGCGGTCTACGCCGGTCGAGCCGACCCATTTGTGCTACAATCATAAAAATCTATTATCCGTATTATCTTTAGTTTTACCTAAAACAGTGTTTTCTACAAGAGGGACTCGTTTTCTGATAACCTCATGTTTAGCGCGCAATAAATCTAAATGTGTCGAATAAACCGAATGGGAGTACGATTTATATTGACTTAACTTTGTAAGCGTATTTGGCGTGACTAAGCTAAGAAAACTAAGCTTGCGCTCGTGAACATGTACGATTTATAGGTTTTCTGCCTGACTATCCTCAAATCATGAAAAATCACGTTATTTGGGTATGACGAACCAATTCGAAAATAAGTTGGGAAGTGGTATTGTTTTTCACTGAATAATTCTTTTATATGTTACATTATTTGTTGCCATATCGACTTGAGATGATTATTCACCAAAATAAGTGAAGACGGAAAATATCCGGAAGATCTGGAAGATCATATATGCGGTTTGTTACTCCTCTATCCGGATATCTTAAGAAAATATCGCATAATCAACTTTATGGCTTCGCCAAAAATGCGTCAATTGGCACTCCTTGATAGAGTTGTCACCCCTGAGGTCTAAGATGGAATGCCTCTTTTCCAGTAAAAAGGGTCTCCGGTTCTCTACACTCACCATACGAAACACAGCAGTGTTAAGCTGCTATTTTACGCAGGTATTCTGTGAGAGCGTGGTCCTTCCCCGGTCGAGCCGACGCATTCGTGCTACAACTATACTACTAATATAGCTGCAGCATGGCTCTACCACGTACAAAATCGGGTACAAAGCCGGTACCGGCTTTTGTTAGTTAAAAAAACATTCGGTCATTGGCGACCATTCAATTTCAATGTTATGTGTACATATTTTATAGAAATAAGGGTGAAAACGAGCACAAATTCTATTTTATGATATGTAAATACTGTGGCCCAAATAAACCACTTTTATCTTCGTTTAAGTATCAAAATGCAAATGCTTTGTCAATCTTGAGGACTAAGATAGAACTCGTTACCATTAAAAAGTATAATATCTGGTCTATTTTACCCACCACACGAAATACAGCAACATCATGCTTGTTCGAGACACTCACAGCACCGATTTTAGTATGTCACTATTCACTTGGTACAACCCTATTGTAACCTTTTTTATAACTGTCAAATCGACATTTCCTCTCTTCTATTAGCGAGCCGTGTGCAGTACAGGCGCAAATTTTGTACAGTTTTTAAATTATACAATAAACCAAGGAAATTAATTGTTTTCAATTAATACAAATCCCCAACATTGGTGCCGAAACCCGGCAATAAGAAAATCCAAGGGATTACATCGATATTTCAAGATTGAGATTCGACCACTGTGTTACGCCCGGTAACCTCCACGTGAACAAGATGGCTGTCGGTGATAGATTTAAAGATGCCACGGATAGCAAGGTGGATCAGGACGCGATTATCGCGATTGGCCGCGTTATCCAAGCTCCCACATGCGCGTGGGCAATGCAAGCGGACGATGACAATGGTGGAAAACTTCATACAGGGTGCGACCGCTCCGCGTGCTGCGGAACTGCAGGTGTGCCTACGTGCCATTGACAACGCCTACAACAATTTCACCACACTGCAGGCGGACATAGCTGCCATCCAGGGCTTCATGGACGTCGACAAGGGCTTTGAGAAACGCTACTTCAACCTCAGCGCTTCTTTATCAACCGTGTTGGAGGAGGTGCAGGATGCCAAAGGTGCTGCGCGAGGTTTTTCCTTACGCGCAGAAGACGACGATGCGAAGACGCCACGCGACTCCAGATGCGGGACCACGTTGCCGCCCATAGACATCACAGACTTCAGCGGAGACATCGGTCAGAATCGTTCCTTCATAGATTTATTCAGTGCAGTAATAGGTAGTAATAGGAATCTTTCAAATGTACAGCGTTTATTTTACTTAAGAAAGTATTTAAATGGGGATGCACTAGCTCTCATAGATAATTTACCACTTATTAATGACTCATACACTCATACGCTTGAGCTGCTCAACAATCGCTATGATAACAAGGCATTGATAGTGAATAATCACATCAACACCTTACTAGATTTGCCTGTAATCAAAGGCTCTGCTCAGCAGTTATGCAGCTTAGTCTCACAAGTCAGACAGCAAGTCACCGCGCTCCAAAATTTAGGACAAGCCATGCAGTGGGACACCATACTAGTGTGCATTTTAAATAGAAAATTGGACACTTTGACCTCTAGGCTTTACCATTCAGAAAGCAGTTTAGATTCCATGCCTACTTTAAAGGAGTTGCTTAATTTTTTAGAAAGGAGAGCTATTGTTCTAGAAGCCAGTCCCTCCACCACTGAAAGGGCAAGCAAGTCTTTTCATTTAAATGTTACCAAATTTACAGAACCTTCTCTTAGTAACAGAAAAAACAACAATTGTAGTCTTTGCAGTCAAGACCACAAATGATTCAAATGCTCTAAGTTCCAATCTCTTACTGTGGCAGACAGGCTGAAGCATGTAAGTGAAAAGAAGCTATGTACTATTTGCCTAAATGGTCACCACAAAAATGTAGGTACAGCTTCTTCTGTTCTATTTGCAAAAGCAAATCATACAACACCCTTCTGCATGAGGCGCATATAGGGGATCAAACACTTATGTCTGGCTCCACTGTGTCCATGCACAACAGGACGTGAAGAACAGTGAGTATGAAGTGCTACTGCCCACAGTTAAGGTGAGGATTAGAGACAAAAATAGTCGCGTTGTCTTTGTTAGAGTCATGTTAGATTCCGGCAGCCAAACGTCATTTTGTACACAATCATTAGTTGACATGTTAGGTACACCTACATACAACCATTCAAAAAATTATTTGTATGTGGAATAATGCAAACAAGGTTCAGAAAGGAGTAGATTTGTGTTTGGAGTCTCTCACAGAAAACTTCAATATCAATGTTTCATGTTCAGTTGTTAAACAAATCACCACTTTGCTACCGCAAAACAAAATTAAAATCAATACATTGTACATTCCTTCCAATATCGTATTGTCAGATAAGGACTTTCAAGTTCCAGGAGAGGTGTCCCTACTACTTGCTGCCAACGTGTTCTTCAAGGTTATTCAAGATGGCAAGATTGAAGGGGGTCCACTGGATCTAGTGCTGATCAATACGAGACTAGTCTACGTTGTGTCAGGTCATTTCAATCCAGTTACTTTAGTGCACACTGCCATCACCATGCATTCCATATCCATGTCCAATGTGTGCATTGACGAGCTAGTCAAAAAGTTCTGGGAGACCGAGCAGGTTCCTCAGTGTTACAATGAATCTTTGCGAGAGCATGAGATCAGTGAGGAAGCATTTAATAATACAGTCAATTTGTGCAATAATAGGTTAGAAGTTAGTCTGCCTTTAAAAATTGACATTAATACAATTTCCCCCACCAACTCATTTTCATTAGCTTTACAAAAATTTTGTAATCTAGAAAAAAGGTTCAAGAAAGGTCCTCTTTATTTTCAAATGCACAAGGCATTTATCCAAGAGTACATAAAGCTAGGTCATGCCAAGGTCGTTGACCTCCAGTCAGCTGACATTAATACATCTCCTGAATATTTTTTGCCACACCATGCTGTAGTGCTCAATGACAAGAAAACAAACAAGTTGCGCGTTGTTTTTGATGGCTCTGCCAACGCAAAAGGCGCTGAATATAGTTTGAATGACATTTTATGCAATGGTTGCGTTGTTCAAAAATCGCACAGAGTTTTGCAGAATATTCTATGGCGTGAAAGCACACATGAAGCTTTGCAGTGTTGACAGCTACAAACGATTACATACGGACTTACAAGTTCAGCTTTTGTGGCAACCCGCTGCCTCATGGAGCTCGCAAAGATTCATGGTGTTCAATTTTCACTTGCTGCCAACGCTTTAAAAACATTTACTTATGTGGACGATGTCCTCACGGGGGCATTCAGCACCGCTGAAACTGTTCGCTTAAAACAGGAACTTATTGACTTGCTAAAACTGGGTAGCTTTGAGCTTCATAAGTGGTGTTCCAATGAGCACAGTGTCATTGGTGACATTCCAGAAGACAAAAGGCACTTTGAAGATGTAGACCTCAATAAGGATTCATTAACCACCAAGACACTATGCATCACACATGAAGTTCAGTCCGACAAGTTCAAAATAACAGCTCCTCCAAATGATACTGGTTTGAAGTCTCCTACAAAGCGTAAGATCCTAAGCTACATCAGCAATTTTTTTGATCCAATGGGCCTCACCAGTCCCGTCTTTGTAAAGGCCAAAAACTTTCTTCAAAAGTTATGGCAAAGTAATTTGGACTGGGATACACCTCTCCCAGCGTAACCTCCGCCTTTGGAGGAGATGCATGCAGGTAAGGCAACACTTCTGGCAGGTTTGGAATAAGGTATATCTCTCTCTACTTAATGATCGAACTAAATGGCATAAAGAATATCCAAACCTAAAGCAAAACATGCTTGTATTGTTAAAAGATAATAACTGTCCTCCCCTTCAATGGCCTATGGCTAGGACAGAAAAGGTGTTCGCTGAGCCAGATCAGTAGGTCAGGGTCGTCCAAGTGCGTACTTCTAGAGGATCGCATCGTAGAGCTTTATCTAAAAATGTTGTCCTTCACATAGAAGACCAACATTCTTAAATTGTATTGTCTAGAAACTATGTAGACTACCTGGATCTGTTTTGTAAAAATAAATAGCATCTTAGCAGGTAATTAATTAGTCTATTGTTAACTAGTCTTTGTATTGTTTACTAGCAAACTCGTCCAATCCTCACCTGGATATCTACCATAATTTCATTTGTTCATTCCTAATAACTTAATTCAGCTCTCCCACACTTGAACGCTTTTTCAGGAATATTAATATTTCTAGGTCACCTAGAATAGAATAGAATAGAATAGAATGATTTTTATTCAATATGGATTATTACATAATACTTATTGAAAGTCATTATTTTATTTACCACTGGTTCGGAAAATACCTCTGTCCTGGGAAGAACCAGCAAGAAACCCAGCGGGACTTTTTTACCTAAACCTAGCATCTATGTTTAGAACTTGTTATAATTTCCAGAATTTTTAGATGATGAAAATTCAACGGTGCTAATTGCACCAATAATAATAATAATACCTTAAATAATATAATAAATGTTAATATTAAATAATTATTTAAAAATAGCAATAATTATTAATATTTAATAATAAATAATTTAAGTCCACTCTCCCACATATTTACAGCTATTTCCATTAAAATGTTCAGTGTTCAGGTTTCATTCAATAGCTAGACTTCTAGATTTCTAAAAGTACTATGTAATTTCACTCAATGTATTAAAAAAAATTCTTTCAAAATTTAAAATGTATAGCTACAAATTGTACTACCTACTTTCATTTCTATAATTTCATCTATAAAATTGTAGTAACTTCATTTAATTTCAAAAACAACTTGCAATGTATTTAAGCTTAAAGTACCTTTGTTGTAATAACAGTAATAGTTATTACAACAAAGTAATAGTTATTATAATAACTTAGCAAAAATTTAAAACAATTGTCTAATGCAATTATATGTAATAAATAATAAAATATAAATGTATAAATAAATGTCTCGCGTCAGTCTGCACCTAGTTAAGTTGCTTACGAGTATTTTGTAAACAGCTAATAATTAGCCATAAGTTTAGTGATAAGCCTGAAAAGAATATTTGCTATGAGGTTTTGGCTAGGCGTGCATATTTTTTTACTGTGTTCATTCATATGTCCTTTGCATTGTATTAAGTGTTTTTGCTAGTTTCTTGGCCCCCCGCATGATGTTCGAGACACTCACAGCACAGATTGTAGTACATCACTATTGTACATATGGTACAACCCTATTGTAATCTTTTTTATAACTGTCAAATCGACACTCCTTCCCTTCTATTAGCGAGCCGCGTGCAGTACAGACGCAAATTTTGTACAGTTTTTAAATGATACAATAAACCAAGGATATTAATTGTTTTCAATTAATACAAATCCCCAACAATGCTGCTAATTTACTTTGGTAGTCTGTGCGAGCTTGGTCTTTTCCCAGTCGAGCCTATCCATTAAAGCTGCAGCCGTAATACGCTGCAGCGTAGCTTGTATAAATATATTCATTTTATTTTTCACTCACTTTTGTTCTGTACACCTCGAACGCGAACCGACAGAGATTGAGCTTTATTGTCAAATTTGACAAGGTCACGCTACCTTATATTATTACAGGTCTATTATCATTAAATACTAACAATATACCAATTAAATGGGAGCGGGTAGCGAAGGGAGCGGCAAGCAGTAATACGCATACGCACACACACAAACACACACGCACACACACGCACGCACACACACACACACACACACACACACACACACACACACACACACACACACACACACACACACACACACACTCACACACACACTGCACACGCACACGCAAACGCCCACAAATACATACATGCACACGCACACATACATGCAAACGCACACACTATTTCATTCTGATATTCTGTGTGAGTGCGATCTTTCACCGTTCAAGCCGACTCATTCGTGCTGCAAAATTAATAACAAAAATACATAAATAATGAGTGTACTCGTGGTTTAAATTAAAGGTAACAGTGATCTACAAAAGAAGAAAATTGAAAATTGGAACAAAACTACTTTATGGATATTACCCCCATGATCTGGAAGAATTCCATATTAAATAAGCATCACTTAATTTGCTTAAAATATGTAATTAATTACCAGAAACGGAATTTTTTATAAAACCGGTACAAGAACAGATCATTTATAAAAAAATATTTCTGAAAATATATAATCAAAGACTCCGCCATAACAGACGATAAATGCCGTGAATGTCATATCCAACCAGAAACCACAGCGAGTACGATAATCTCAAAGACAAACTACACTTACAGGCACAAAAAGTAGCAAGTGTTATCATATATCAACTATTAGCGCTCAAATATACACTCATTTAAAACCAAAACTCTTTACTATAAAATCACACCAAAAACTGAACTAAAAATCTAACACACAAATTTAATTACGACCGCGTCATACTTACCGATAAATACTTAATACTTTTCACTGTATAAGACCAGATATAAATCTACAAGATAAAAGAAATACAATTACTTACCTGATAAATATCGCAGTACACAAAAAACAGTAACTGAAGAAATAATTAAGTACACAGAACTGAAAGACGTTACTAGAATTTGAAAACAAGGAAAAGTAAATATATTTTATATAATCTATATCAGGTGATTAAAATTAATAGCCATGAAATTATATATCTCTAAAACTCTACAGAAAGCTGTAATTTTTATCATCTGCGGAATTATCAGATAAATGATGCAAATTCAAGAAAATGTAAAAGCACCCCGTAGCGTCACTCTTTTTAGATAGAATTCATACACCGCACAACACTTACACGGCTCCAGCTCGTAGATGTAGTTACTAAGAAAACATATGGTTGCCGAAAATGGCTAATGTCTATACGAAATTATAAGATCAAGCTATTAAGACCAACAATTATCAAAGATACATTCGAAAGGATAAGTAAAATTACATACAATATGCTAAAATAGTTACAGTGTTCGTCTATCATATTTGTAAATTTTTTGTTTTAATTTATGTATAAATAGTGACTTGCTTTTTAAGTACCTGCTCTTGATTTTCGGTTAACTTTTTCCTCACTAACAATTGTACTGAAATATAATAAAAGACATGAAAGTCAGCAAAGTGCCCCAGCTTCAAAAAGAAACCCTTGTCAGATTTGGATCAACTGCTACATAATCCAAAAGTAATCTAAAAGCACGTGACATTTTAGTGAAATATTTTTGTAACACTACTCAACCATGATAGAATGAAAACTTATTCTCTAATATACGTATATGCACAAAAATAAAATATTATATTCGATTTTATAAAACAATAAAAATACACGTTTTTAAAACTTGGTAGAGCCATGATACAGGGTCGGCTCGACCGGGGAAGGACTACGCTCTCACAGAATATCAGCGTAAAATAGCAGCTTAACACTGCTGTGTTTCGTCTGGTGAGGGTAGAGAACTGGAGACCCTTTTTTACTGGAAAAGGGGCATTTCATATTCTGGCGGGTGAGAACGCATCTGCATTTTGTTTCCCTAACGAGGATAGATGTAGGTGTTTATGGGCCACAGCAACCACTTACCATCAGGAAGAGGACTGTGTGCTCGTTTGTCACCCTTATTCTATAAAAAAAATACAAGTTATATATAATAGTATCGTTGTATTGTTGTAATAAAGTAGTGCGTACTTCAAAGTAGTGCGCATAATGATGCTGTGCATAATGCATGTAATTAATTTTAAATAACACCGTCTTATTGTTACTATTGCTGCTATTTGTACTAGGCGGAGCCTTAGTAGAGTGTAATAATTTTAACTGCTATATATGTTATTAACCGTGTTGTGGTGGTGTAAGAATATTCACTACCCCATATCATTCCGTGAATATAGTGAGAGGCCACAGGGGGAACCTTAAACAGGGGACTGGCAGCAGCATATTCCTGATAACATCTCAAATTTATGCAATACTTCGTTTGTTAACCCGCATAAGCGTGGGAACTGTGGGAAAAATTTCTCATATATACCATTCTATGGCAGCATTCTATGAGGACTATGTTCAGCAGTGCGTTTTATAGACTGTAAGATGATGTATATCATACCAGTTAAAAATATAACCTCATACATGGGCTTTGCCTAGGCAGGTGACAAACATTTAAAGCCATATTCATCTTTAAATATTTTATAGGACGTGACAAACGACTTTAAGTTATTAAATCTAACAATTAAAGGGTGATATTTCCTGCTAAAATGCACGTACTAGTAATTTATTACTAAACTGCCAATCCACTGTAAATTGCTTGTTAGACCCCCGTCAGTTTTGGCAGAAGATTTTGACAAGAGATTTTACTGTAACAGAATACAAACGATAGCACATATTTATGTACGTACTAAATTATTCAAATTATTATACAATGGATAAAGCACTTTATATAATACTAGCTTTTTACTCGCGGCTTCGCTCACGTTGGCTTCAATTTAGAAATATCAATAATACTACTCCAATTAAAGTTAAAATTTCATTAATGTAGTTTTATTATTCACGATAAACGTATGAGAGGAACTATATTTATGAACGGGAGTAGATATATAGAGAAGATAGGAAGCAGCGGCTTTCTGATTACAGCTCAAAATAATAAAAAGTTGCAGTTGATAATCCACCTGATAATCGTAGCAACAACGGTCAATGCCATACTTATTTCGTAATCTATGGTTGGAA